AGACATGTCAAGTGCTAATGGGGTATCAAGAGTTTTATGTGGAAATTGTTATTGTTATAGGCTATTATCACTGGGCATTCAGTGACAGTTGTGGATGATGTGTAAAGTTCCTTTTTCTGAATGTTTTTGGATATGCATACTTGTAATAATAAAATTATCATTATAAATTAATGTGCCTCTTCATAGCAACTGAAAAGTCCCAGCAATTATTTTCAATGGTGTTCTTATGGTACTAATAGGGATGTGGGTGCACTGATCAAATTTGCTGGTCCTGATTTATACTTAGGCATTTACCTCCTTCCTAAAAATAGGTAACAAAAATAAAATGCAATATTAAAGGGTTATTAAACCCTCCGTCTTTTTTGCATATATCTACTGCTAGCAAACCTGTGTCTTCCCTGTGCGCTCTTGTCCAAAAATGTGAAAATTCTCAGGTGACCGCAAAGCATCTTGGGGCGGGCGCATGCGCAGTTCACATTTTCGGCTGGGAGACGAGGAGAGACACAAGGTAAGTCTATGGACGCGTGCACCCGCATGCAGACACCGTGGGGCAGGAAGTGCCAGCAAGGACAGAGGAGTCAGCGCTGGATCGGAGACTCGCCGCAGCGCTGGAGGGACAGATGAAAAGGACAGGAAAGAAGAAGATCGGATTAAGAGACATCATTTAAGGTAAGTGCTTAACTTAACATTGGGGGGAGGGAAAAATGTTTTTGACTTTAATCTCACTTTAACCAGATGCAAAAATGAAATGTTAGGATTACATTTTTAGTCTTATACATAAGAAAATATATCCAAAAACACTATGGGGGTCTATTTATAAACAATTCGCAGAGCCATCTAGTGGCCATCATTTGGTATTACAAGATGACATTCAGAAATGCATTCAGCTTATGAAGAAAATATACAAGAATGTTTGTTTTGTAGAGCTGCAACAATTATTCGATTAAAATCGATGATGGAAAATGTTATCAGCGTTTTCCATCGTCGATTCATCGGCTAAAATGTTAATTTCCAGCTCACGCCCGCTTGTTCGTGGCCCTGTACACGTGTTACGCTACGCACGCCGCGGACGCCATGCCCACCACACAAGCCGGACACATGCCCGCAGAGCACGCCGTCGCAGATGAGTGAAGGGAATGTGAGGATCTTAGGAAAGCAAGTAATTAAGCACTTGCATAGACCTTATTGGGCAAATCCCAAGTGCACCTTAATACATGATGGCTGGAAATCCTATCATCTGGAAATTAGGGCCTATACACATACAGCACAGCAATGAAGTAATACAATGAACTAGGATCACACTAATCCAGCACGTTATTAATCTCACGTGCCACACTCAATATGGCTGCCGCTTGAGTGGGACAACTCAGAATAATAACGTGCTGGATTAGTGTGATCCTAGCTCATTTTATTACTTCATTGCTGTGCTGTATGTGTATAGGCCAATGCCTTGGCTGGCGCTCGTGCAGAAAGTTTCTTGGGCAAACTCACCGGCCCAAGTGGCTCCGTCGGCTAACGAAGGGGGAAGGAGTCCGGTGACGTCGATGTCCGTGACGTCACCAGATCGCCGATGAAACTCCTGGAAGCCGGCGGAGAGGTGAGTGTTTTCATTAGCGATCAAAATAATTTTAATCAATCAAAAAGTTTAACAATTAATCGAGAAATGAATCTTTAATTTCCACAACCCTATTGGAAATATCTCTGTTCATGACACCCCCCAACTATAGCAAATTTGTTGATACAGGATTTGGTAAAGTTCTGTTTTAATGTTTCCTGTTTAAAAAAAAGCAACACACTGCAGAACACCAGCAGCTATAGAGGAACTACAAATCCCAGCAATAATACATTAAACACCCTGTATAATGTATTATTGGTGGGATTTGTTGTTCCTCTATAGCTGGTGGTATTCTCCATTGTGCTGCATAATGTATTATTGCTGGGATTTGTAGTTCCTCTATAACTGGTCAGTGGTAATCTGAATTTCGCAGTATAATCATTATACAGCGCAATGGAGAATACCACCAGCTATAGAGGAACTACAAATCCCAGCAATAATACATTATATACAACGCAATGCAGAATAACGCCAGCTACAGAGGACTACAAATCCCAGCAAATATACTATATATATATAGTATATAATGTACTATATTGCACACCACACTTTTTTTTACTTCCACCGCACCAACCTTGCTCCCGTGATGGACTACAATCTCAATACAAACTAGTAGTTCAAACCCTTTTTTTTTTTTTAATCCGATTAATCGAACATAATAATCGGCTAACTAAACGATTATGAAAATAATCGTTAGCTGCAGCCCTATTGTTTTGTGTGCCCATTTGCACAAAATGAACATTCACAGAGATTCGCTAAGCCAATTGTTAATAAAAAGAACCCCTATATATGCCATTTAGTTACCGCAAATAAAAATGCTAGGTTAAAGTGCATCTGAACTCAAAAAGTGAAGGTTTGCTAAGTTAAAGGAAACATTTAGATATGTTAACTGTGCCTAAGCAGTACCTTGGATAGTGTACTATTTGTCTGAAGTTCCTCCTATAAAAAGCAGTTCACTTCCTGGTATTTTAGGGTGCCTACAGCCCTATAGCTGTGTATCCTCACTGTAGGATCTAAGGTATTCCTGCCTTTAACTGTTAGTTAAATCTGGCCATACACCTATAGATTATCTGCAGATTTTCTATGGTCAGATGGAAAAAGTGCAACAGGTTCCTCCATCTACGCTAAACTGTGTGGATGAAGGAATCTCCCACTGGGCCAAGCTTCAGTATCTCGCTAGTCGGCCCCGCTGGATCCCTAAATACCTGAACAATGCCTGCATCCAATCAGATTGTTCAGGTGCTTGAGAGCCAGCGGGCCCGACTAGCAAGATAATGAAGCTTAGCCCAGTGGGAGATTCCTCCATCCACACAGTTTAGCGTAGATGGAGGAATCTGTTGCACTTTTTCCATCTGACCATAGAAAATCTATAGGTATATGACCAGCTTTAGGAGATTGGTGACACCACTTGTGCTGTGCTCAAGATAGGTGGTTCTGGATTTAGATTTGATTGAGGTGTGCTGGTTTCATACATACATTTTGCGCTCCCAACGATCACCTAGTGATGAGCTGGGCTTGGTGCCCGCTCTAAACTGACCGACAACCCCCTCTTGGCCCAATCAGTTGTGGCAGGGACATTGCCTGCCCCTTTGCGATGTGTAGCTGAAGAGTGGGGAATGCACCTACTGCAACTGATTGGGCCAGGAGAGGGGGTGTATCACTTTAACCACGGAACGGCCGGACAGTAGTCTTATAGGAGCGGGAGGGCGTCTAAAGACGTCCTGCCCCTCCCCCCACTTGTGTTCGGCGTTCAGCGCTCACACGAGCGGGGAAACTGTGAGCATGTAAACAGCCAGCGATGGCTGTTTACATTCAAGCGATCGGGCATCTCTAGAGACGCCCGATCACTTGCAGGAGCTGTAGGTGTGCGCCCTCCCTGTAACTCTGCCGGCGCCGCCAGTCCCGAGATACGCTGTGCCTGGTGCGACTTGGATCGGCACGGCGACGCTCTCAGTGGAGATCAAAGGGAGATCAGTACACGATCTCCCTTTGATCTCTTCTCTGTCCCCGAATGCAGGAAGTGATGTCTAATACATCACTTCCTGCATTCAGTGTCACTCTCCGGTACAGAACACACGTGAGAAGCTGGTGAAGCAGATCTCTGCTTCATCAGCTTCTCTGGGGGTCCCTAGGTGACATTAGGACCCTGATGTCTCCACAAAGAGGACCTGTTATGTGAATTGGCTATCACATTGGGGGTTTCTTAGCCCCCTATGTAATAGCAATAAAGTTGAGAGTAAAAAAAAAAAAGTTAAAAAGAATGAAAGCATAACAAATTATAAAGAAGCTAAAAAAATAGTCATAAAAAAAAACAATTTTTTTTAAAAAAGTTGCCCGACCCTCCACATACACACGCAAACATGCGTCAGGTGCGCCTATGTGCGAAAACGACAATTCCGCCTATTGTGCCACACATGTTACATATCGCTGCGAAAGTCGCAGTGTGAGCAATAATTTTAGGGCCATCAATCACTGATAACACTAAACTGATGAGCGGTAGAAGCTTGGTGTCTATTTACCTGACTTGACCCCGTCTTTTATATTTTACCAAAAATTTGGGTGATAATATGTTTCATAACATTTCATAGGGAATTTAGGGTACTTTTTTTGTTATATAGTAAAATAGTGATATAGTAAAAAATAAAACCCCTAGTGATGATTAAATACCACCCAAAGAAAGCTCTATCTGTCCCCAAAAAATGGTATAAAATTCATTTCAGTACAGCGTTGCATGACGGAATAAACGTCAGTCAAAGTACCGCAGCGATGAATACTGAAAAATTGCCTGGACGGGGAGGGGGTGTAAACATCTGGTCTTCAAGTGGTTAAACAGGCTTGGGTGAAATCAGGGGTACCGAGTTCACACCAAGCCCCATCTCATCACTAATGCTACCTGCCCTGGATTGGCATCATGTGTTTCCATGGTACAGGCGGGCTGGCTGGCCATCAGCACCATAACAACCAGGCCACCTCCAACTGGAAAATTGGTGCGGCCCAGGCTGCCTGCATCCTAGCAACCAATGATGCTGGATTTTTTTTTGGGGGGAGGGGCATTGATTACTGATTTTTTTTTCCATGTACCCCAAGCCATCCTGGCTCATGCCCCACCTAAGTTTGGCAACCAGTGTTCTAGAGAAGGATACCGGGAATATATACACTTTGCTCAGCCAAATAAATGATATCCGTTCCTCCTTACGTGTTCCTGAACCATACATAAAAGAACACGTAAGAATGCCGTGAATGTCTCACGCATTAGCTAAGTGGCAAAGAATGCCTCCGTGACGCCAACATGACGCCAGACCTTCGAACAGGAGACCCCCAGTTGCCAAGGTGCCGAACTTCACGCCCAGTGATGTCAGCAGCCGGAAGTTCGTGTAATGTCTAAGATGGCTACTACAGGAAGTAGGAAGTAGTAGCGGAGAGCGGAAACCTGGGCTACACGGGCTGAAGACCGGAAGAATCTGTTATAAAAAAAGTTGTAAACAAAATTTACCGGCAGAGTTTGCCCCTGAGAGGAGGGCTATGTTAACTGGGGTTTAGACTGGCGGCACCGGCGGAAGGGGTCGGTGTGAAGGGAAGCCTCGGCGCTACTGTCCCGGAAGTCAGAGGCGACATTTGTGGTAAGGAATTTGGGCACTGACGGGGCACACAACAGCCGATCAGCTCTGTGTGAGGACAGGCTGGGGCTTGTGGTTCCACAGCACTTCTAAGGGGCTTACTCATTTTCTCAGGCTGGGAAATGAGGATGTGAAGGAAGCTTTGGGAGATTTTCAGGTCTGTCTAGCTTCCTCTGAACTTCTGTGCCCACGCTGGCTGTAGCACTGCAGGTCTCATAGACCTCAGCACTGCACTTGGTACTCTGCCCCCTCTCTTCCTGGCCAATCACAAAACGGAGCCTGGGGCCTTTGCTTTGTGATTGGCCAGGAGAAGAGGGGGACAGAGATGTGACTGCAATGCTAAGGTCTATGAGACCTGCAGCGCTACAGCCAGCGTGGGCACAGAAGTTCAGAGGAAGCTAGACTTCCAAACTGCATGTATACTAAAGGTTTGCAGAGAGGAGGAAGATCTCATGGCAGGTGGGTTTACAGCTAAGTCACCCTGCGACTATTTAAACTGCAGTAAGTGTACTGTGTCCGGAGTCGAGCTATAACATGTTAATGTCATTGAAAAGTCAGTTTCAATCTACTTTTTCTTTTTTAATCCACGCCTTTTATTAAAATAGTATTTTGTGATCCGGCCTTGAAGGTCCTCGTTTTGGTGGGGGGCGGGAGGAGTGCATACGCACATTGGACCAGAATGACAGTATTTAAGTCTCACTACGTACACCCGGGTGTTCTGATCACTCCAGCCTTTTCTTTTTCTTGAAGTTAAAAGCCACATACAAGTTAGACCAGGGATAGCCAAACTCTGGCACTCCGGCTGTGGTGGAACTTCAAATCCCATTAGGCATTGCAAGATTCTCACAGTCACAAACATGAGTCCTGGAGAGAGATGCATCATGGGATTTGTAGTTTAACCATAGCTGGAGGGCTGGAGTTTGGCTACCCCTGAGGTAGACTCATTAATGAACTAACTGCTATGCTGAATGATACCAACAATAAGTTTTGAATTGGCAGCCAACCATGGTTTAATTACTCCCCACCATCCCAACATACTGTACATCTACCTAAACTGTAGACCCCGTAATCAATTTTTATTAAACATTTGAAAGGTCCCTATTTTCCCTGCTTCTTGATCCTCTTCCCTTCCCTACAGCCCCTGGTGTTCCACTTTCATCACCTTCCCCCTTTGGTCCTCCTTATCTGAGTGTCTATGTTGGCTATTATCACTTCCTTTCTTCATTCTTTTCTATCTACACTGTCCTCTTCCCTTGAAGGAAGAGGCGTCCCCTCCTTTTGTAGCTGAAATCTTTACTTTACTTTCAACAGAGCTTCATTCATGAGGTTTCATGTACTGTTGTCCTCATCTGACATCCTGTGACATTTTCTCTCTAGATGTGTCAAACTTTTTTTTACTATTTCTACTGTAGCACCATCACATTTACTGTATCTACATGAATGCCTTTTTATTTAAAGAACAACTCCGGGCAGAAAGGTCTTAACCCTTGAAGTGGAGCTATCCCTGTACTGCAAGGGTTAAGTGCTTTTTTTCGTCTAGGGTCACAAATAACAGAGATACTCGCCCAAACATCCATTCCGGCTGGCTGCTAGACCGGTCCCCCTCTGCTTCAGCAAGTAATGTTCTTCACAGGTTCTTAGACAGGTTCAGAGCGAAGAGGGAGAGAGGCTGCAGGTACCAGTCTAGCAGCTAGCCGGATTCAAGCTTTGGCTGAGTATATCTTTGTTATTTGGGACCCTAGACAAAAACAAGCACTTAACCCTTGCAGTACAAGGATAGCCCCACTGCAAGGGTTAAGACCTTTCTGGCCGGAGTGCTTCTTTAATCCAGGTCTACACTTATTACAGGGCTTGAAACATTTTAGGGTGTCTCCGCAGTTAGTCAAAATGTCACCAGTCATGACCGGACTATAGCCTTGCAATTAATGTTAATTGTTTTTGGGACAGATAGAGCTTTCTTTTGGAGGTATATCATCACCACTGGGGGGTGTTTATTTTTTACTATATAATTAAAGAAGTGCCGTAAATTTAGTGGGAATTTTTTTTATTATTACCCATATTTTTGGTAAAATATAAAAGACCAGGTAACGTCGGATAAAAAGACACCAAACATGTCAAGCCTTAAAATTGCGTGTGCCCGCAAAATACGACCACATCGAAAATTGGCCATAGGTGATGCTTTAAATGCTTTTACTGCTCCTCAGTTTAGTGTTATCAGTGATTAATGGCCCTGAAATTATTGCTCTCACTCCAATGTTCGTGGTGATATGTAACATGTGCGGCGCAATTGTCAGTTCCACACGTAGATGCACCTGATGCATGTTTGCGTGTGTATGTGGGGGACTTAAAAAATAAATAAATGTGTGTTTTTTTTGTTGTTTATGCTTCTTTAATTTTCTTATTACACTTTTTTTAACTTTTTACACTTGACTTCATTGCTGTCACATGCTAAAATTGACCATAGGCGACGCTTTCAAAACTCAGTTTAGTGTTATCAGTGATTGATGGCCCTAAAATTATTGCTCACAATGTGACTTTTGCTGCGATATGTAACATGTGTGACACAATAAGCACAATTCTCGTTTTCGCACACAGGCGCACCTGGTGCATGTTTGCGTGTGTATGTGGGGGGACGTGCAACTTTAAAAAAAATTATTTTTGTTTTTTTTTGTTACTATTTTTTTTTTATGCTTTCATTTTTTTTTACGCTCAACTTTATTGCTATTACATAAGGGGCTAAGAAACCCCAAATGTGATAGCCAATTTACATGACAGGTCCTCTTTATGAAGACATCACGGATCTCCAAGACCCCTAATGTCACCTAGGGACCCCCAGAGAAGCTGATGAAGCACAGATCTGCTTCACCAGCTTCTGAAGCTGGAGAGTGACAGCTGAATGCGGAAATTATGTAATATACATCACTTCCTGCATTCAGGGACCGGAGAGGAGATCGGATGGAGATTGTGTACTGAACTCCCTTTGATCTCTTGTCACAGAGCAGCCGTGCCGGTCCCGGCCGCACAGGGCACAGCGGATCTCGGGATCGGCAACGGCAGTGACAGCTGCTGCTAATACAAGCGATCGGGAGTCTCGAGACGCCTGATCACTTGAATGCAAAGTCCCCGGCCGGCCGTTAAATTACAATAGCCGGACGTGAAGCTACTCGTTGGGCTCTGGCGTCTTCTCGTCACAAACGAGTGAACGAGCGGATTTTTCAAGCCCTGCTTACTATATATTTGGATTTCTATTGCATCCATGCGTATTGACCCAAAGTCTACGTGAACCTCAAATCTATTTTGCAAATTGTTTGACGCCTAACTGTATCCAACTTTTTTTTAAAACAAATGATTTTTGTGTATCTTGTGTAGAGTTTCCTGCCTGGAGATCCTGCCGGTAACAGCACTTCCTGTTGCAGACTGACAATACCAAGCTCTTACCTTGCAATTTTCAACAGCATTGTCAGCCTGCCATTTGAGCCTCTTAGCTTTGAGGGGTTAGGTCTGCCTTTTACCAATGTAGTAGGCACATGCAGAGCTGATAGACAGCACACGGCCAACTTATGGAGCATGCATGTTTACAATGCTGATTCTAATTGAAAGGCAGCGGCTCTTAAGCTGGCCATACACCTATAGATTATCTGCAGATTTTCTATGGTCAGATGGAAATAGTGCAAAAGATTCCTCCATCTACGCTAAACTGTGTGGATGGAGGAATCTCTCACTGGGCCAAGCTTCAGTATCTTGCTAGTCGGCCCCACTGGCTCTCAAGCACCTGAACAATGCCTGCATCCAATCAGACTGTTCAGGTATTTTGACAGCCAGCGGGGCCGACTAGAAAGATACTGAAGCTTGGCCCAGTGGGAGATTCCTCCATCTACACAGTTTAGCGTTGATGGAGGAATCCGTTGCACTTTTTCCATGTGACCATAGAAAATCTGCAGATAATCTATAGGTGTATGGCCAGCTTAAGACCGGTCCCTGGCGCCACACTCTCAGCTCCTCTGCAGTGGTCCTGTGAGTCATCGTGTATAGGACGTGAGGGTGCCAAAAGACATTCCATCACTACAGAGAAGGAAGAGACAGGCTAGAGGGAGCGATGTCACAGCCAGCTGTCTCCAAGGATCGGGGGAGTATACAGTAACTAACTATTATTTTCCTCCCTAGACCAAAACGAGCGCTTAACCCTTGCAGTGTGGGGGTAGCCCCACTGCAAGAATTAAGAAAACATTTCCCCGGCGTTCTGCTTTAAACAAGGACCTTTTTTGACAGGCTTATATGGGATTTTAGTGATTGGGTTTACAGTGAATTTAAGGACCCGCACTTATTTGATGTCTGCTGTAAAATGCATGCAGTTTCAGCATCAGCAGATTGTTTGTCCATGGTGGGGCTGGAAAACTGCAAATGCCAGGATTCCTACACATCATTCTTTAAACGTCTTAAAATGCTTATAACTTACTGGCTCGGCAGGTTTATTCCAATCTGTAGCAATGATTTGTTTACATAGAATGCAGTATAACCATACAAGCATTGAGTAAGCCCTAGTCCATAGAACACATGGTTTCAGTCCATAGAACACATGGTTTCAGTACACTGCACTGATGATGGCCAAATAGCTTGAAACAGCTGTATGCAGTCTGGAATAAATGACTCTTTAATATAAGGATATTTGCATTGTTCACCAGTTTGGATGGCTGCTAATGTACAAGCGATCCGGCGTCTAGAAGGCCACCGGATCGTTTGTACCGATCGGCGGATGGTGCTGTCCCCACCCCCTCTGCCGTAATCTGCTTCCCTGGGCTCCGCTGTCTCCTGTGCGGGGCCCAGGACCGGCATGGCAGGTCTCCCCGCAACGATCCAACCGCTGATCCCTCCTCCGATCACTGTACCTGGAAGTGATGTGTATTACATGACTTCCGGTTTCACTGTTTACATTCTCTGGCTCTTAGAGCAAGGAGATGAAGCTGGGGAAGCAGATCTCTGCTTCCTCAGCTTCTTTGGGGTCC